CCTATTTCTGTCAAGTTCAGTACTGTAAAAAACAACAGAATCAACATTCTTAAACATTTGCCAAAGCCTCTTACTCTTACTTTTCATTCGCTGCTATTATTTCTCTTGCATAGTGTATGGTTTAGATGTTAGGTGTCTCCAAAAGCTCATGTGTGAGAGACAGTGCAAGAGGGCTTACAATGTAAGGGTCCGGCAAACGTCGGAGGAAGAGACCACCAAGAGACCGGCTCATGCAACAGCAAAAGGGAGAGCGGCCAAGAGCCCCAAGCGGGGGTTGAGCAGTGCTTAAGTACACTTTTTGGGGAGGGCAGGGACTTCACATACATCACAGTCTCCTTTAACTAATCACCATACACCGCGGGAAAATCAAACAACAATTCTTAAACATGATTAGCACATTCATTGGCGGGAACAGGTCAGGCGGGGGTGATAGGTCACTCCTAAAGAGGAGGGTACATTCAAACTGATTGGTTTGGGCCCTGAATGCCTACGTGCCAAACTGCACAGGGTCCAGGTTATTTAACAACTAAATGGTCAGTACCGGGCATTGTCCTAACTGCCTCAGGAATTTCAGGTTCTGTGTGCAGTTCAAAAACTTTACAATACCTGGTCCTTTACATTTTAACTCAGGCTTTACAGCTTAGAAACTTTACCCTTTCAAGAGGTGAAATGATTGGGTTAGGAAAGCCTTGACCCAATCAGTGAACTAATCCCTGATAAATGAAGCCAGAATTAGACAGGCAATCAGTATAGATAGGTAAATTGAGTCATGGTGAATCAAGGAGGCCAATTTGAGTAAGTCCAAGAAGTTGGAGACTGCCCCCTGAGGGACTGAAATGACTTCAGAGTCTTTCCTCCACCTTATCAAGATAACCTACTAAGGTAACCTGTCCTAGGAATTGCCCCCCGCCCCTCAGCTACAGGGAGTTTTGAAAGTTGTTAATGTATCCTGGGCTACTCTATCCAGCCCTTCCCCAGTCCACCTGCTTCTTACCTTTTGGCCATCCCACAGAGTATCTCCATCCAGGAAGGAGATTAGGGGAAGAGAGCAGGAGAACAAAGGAAGCCTAAGACCTATAAGAAAGGCAGAACATCCTTGCTTCTTAGAATACCAGGATACCAGCTATGGCCCCCTTCTCCCTCCTGGGAGAAGTCTATATTACCCCTTTTTAAATAAACCCTGCATATTATTTATATGCTTGCTTTGGCATACTTCAACATGTAAGGGAGCAGAACTTTAACTGGTAAAGGGGGGGGGCGGTGGTAATCACAAAGATTAACTGAGTGATAATTGAAGGCAGGTAGGGTGTGGCTGGAAGAGGTAGGTCTTTGAGTACATGCCTTTGGGGTATATATTTTGTATCTGGTGAGTAGAGTCTCTCTCTGTTTCCTGATGTGATGCCCTGAGCTACTTTCCTTCACCACACTCTTCTGCCATGATGTTCTGCCTCACCTCAAACTCAGAGGAATGGAGCCAATTGCCTATGGACTAAGACCTCTGAAACTATGAACCCCCAGATAAACTTTCCTCCTCTAAAATTGTTCTTGTTGCTCTTTTGGTCACAGCAGTGAAAAAGCTGACTAAAACATGGTATTTCCGTGGGCTTTATTCTGTATAAAATAAAACCCAAAATCCTTTTATTACAATAGCCAAGACTCTGCAATGATCAGGCCAATCAGTGCTCACCCACCTCTCTGCCCTCATTTCCTATTTTCTTCTTTTTTTAAATTTTTTATTGTTGGTTGTTCAAAACATTACATAGTTCTTGACATATCATATTTCACACTTTGATTCAAGTGGGTTATGAACTCCCATTTTTACCCCATATACAGAATGCAGAATCACATCAGTTACACATCCATTGATTTACATATTGCCATACTAGTGTCTGTTGTGTTCTGCTGCCTTTCCTATCCTCTACTATCCCCCCACCCCTCCCCTCCCCTCCCCTCTTCTCTCTCTACCCCCTCTACTGTCATTCATTTCTCCCCTTTGTATTGTTTTTCCCTTTCCCCTCACTTCCTATTGTATGTACTTTTGTATAACCCTGAGGGTCTCCTTCCATTTCCATGCAATTTCCCTTCTCTCTCTCCCTTTCCCTCCCACCTCTCATCCCTGTTTAATGTTAATCTTCTTCTCCTGCTCTTCGTCCCTACTCTGTTCTTAGTTACTCTCCTTATATCAAAGAAGACATTTGGCATTTGTTTTTTAGGGATTCGCTAGCTTCACTTAGCATAATCTGCTCTAATGCCATCCATTTCCCTGCAAGTTCTATGATTTTGTCATTTTTTAATGCAGAGTAATACTCCATTGTGTATAAATGCCACATTTTTTTTATCCATTCGTCTATTGAAGGGCATCTAGGTTGGTTCCACAGTCTTGCTATTGTGAATTGAGCTGCTATGAACATCGATGTAGCAGTGTCCCTGTAGCATGCTCTTTTTAGGTCTTTAGGGAATAGACCTAGAAGGGGAATAGCTGCAAGTACATGAAAAAATGCTCACCATCTCTAGCAGTCAGAGAAATGCAAATCAAAACCACCCTAAGATACCATCTCACTCCAGTTAGATTGGCAGCCATTATGAAGTCAAACAACAATAAGTGCTGGCGAGGATGTGGGGAAAAGGGTACACTTGTACATTGCTGGTGGGACTGCAAATTGGTGCAGCCAATTTGGAAAGCAGTATGGAGATTTCTTGGAAATCTGGGAATGGAGCCACCATTTGACTCATTTCCTATTTTCATTCAGCGGCTTTGTTACCGCTGTTTACACTGAGTCCTTGCTTCCCCGAATGCTGAAGTATAACACCAGAGAAGCATGCTGAGGCAAGTTTAGAGTGGAAAATGGAAGGCTTTATTAAAGGACAGCAGAAAAGACTTCCTCCTGGAGGAAGAAGGGGGCCCAAAAGGCAGAATCCGTGGAAGGAGGAGGTCTTCCCTTTTTTATAGCTAAACTCTTCTTTCAGCTTTCCCACACTCCTTTGTTTTCCATTATCTTACAGTGATATAGAATGCAGATGGGAAGACCCAAAAGATGGGGGATAAGTGGGCTGAAGGAGTAATCTGGTCAGTAAGGGCCTGGGGCGGCTTTTGGATTAGCATCTCCCTGTTTGCTGGGAGCTGCTTTCTAGATTCATTTCCTTAGGATGGGCTCCAGGCCTTGGGGACATTCACATTTCATTTCCTCAAGTACTGCTCTGGTTTCCTGGACTCCGTCTCAATATGGCCTCCATTTTATTTATCTTACTCAATTTTAGACCCTATTTACCTAACTACACTAACTACCTATCTGTAAATCTAGCTTCAGCTTTCTTGTTGTTCTTTAAATATACCAAGCACAGGCCCACTTCAGTACATGTATCCTGTGCCTAAAGTACTATCTGTAATCACCATGTCTAAATAACAACCAGGTTCCTCCCTCTTCCATACCCTTTCTCTGCTTTATAATTCTTTATGGCACTTAGCATATGATATCCTACATATGTATTAATTTGATTTCATCTACTTTCTAAATACTGGAATGCAAGCTTTTTGAGGGAGGGATTCAGCACCAAAGAATGAATGCTTTAGAAAAAAAATACAGTGAGTCCTTTTTTCATTCATTCAACTAATATTTATTGTGAACTTACTGTAGAAGAGAAACTAAGGTGAAAACACAGTGGATATTAAACAGAACTGAATAGGTTCTAAAATATAAAATAATAAAATTGAAATATAAAATTAAAAAGTTTTAAAGGGTGGATGGGCTAGATAATCTCATAGATGGCAAGTCCAGTTTAGAACCCTTAAAGGAAAATCAAGGACAGAGGACAGGGCACACTGCCCCTTGACTATTGCTCAACACACCAGGGTGGAGAGCTGACCATCCAGAAGATTAGATTCTATTTCTAGGAAATTTGGAACAGGAATTCCTTGAAGCTAACCATTCTTTACTCATCTTTTGAGGCTAGAGGGGTAAACACCTCCATGTAGAGCAATTACTTTCCCTTCTACAAACTCAGCCTACTTACCAGGGCCAAGGATAGCCTGTGGGTGTGGCTGTGGGGTGCATCCTCCTGTGAGGTCTTGTTAGAGATCCTGCAGGAATAGAGGCAAAAGCAGCTCTTGAAGAATGTAACCATGTTCACAATCTATATTTGAAATGTACTATATTTTCATTGCTACCAGGGAAAAGGCCCAGTGGAAAATGTGTCCTGTTCTAAATATAGCACTTACTTTTCTATACCTGCTAGATTTAGGTTGAAGCTATGGGGCACAGCCCAGGCAGTCACCTTCACTGAAGGGCTTCAGCTACACTACTCAGATCAGGACAGAAAGGTTTTGGGGTACAGCCTGGTGCTTAAGCTCAGTCTCACTTTAATGCCATTTCCTTCTTTATCATGATTCTCTCTTCCTATCCCTCGCCATTGCAGCACATTCTTTAAAGTCCTTGAATATGTCCTCCAGCACTCAGGCAGTTAAATTTGTCAATTTATCTATCAGTTTAACGTTTTTTTCTTCCTCAGTTTCCCTATTTGTAAGATTGTTTGGCTGATACCATATTCCAATCTTTTCAACATTTTGTTTTCTTTTGCTTTCATTAAGTGGGGGGTGGGAGGGGTTGGGGGGAGAGAAGCCTAGTGTGGATGTACTTAATCCAACCCTTTTGCAAGCACGTGGTAGATGCAGGCGTTCATAAATATTTATGAATGAATGAATGCATAAGTATGTGAGTGAATGGGTGAGAGGACATGATGTTTTTAAGCTGAATGCGCGCGGGGAGATGGGAATGTGCAGAACCATTGAATGAGGTTGATTTGCCTCCCTGTGTTCCTATCCTCCAGACTCACCTACCATGCGCATCCACGCGGGGGCAGGAGTGAAGGAGGGACCAGAGAGTAGAGGCGGGACTACGAGGATACGCCGCAGGAGGGCGAGGCTACGAGTGCGCGCCAGGGGCGGGGCGCGCTTTCGGGGGCGTGGCTAGGAGGGGCGCCGGGCGGAAGGGGCGGGGAGGGCGTGCCTAAGCGCGCGCTGGGCGCAGCCTTCGGCGCAATGGCCAAAGCCGACCGCCGAGTCCCGGCCCCACCCGGACGCTGAGCGCCTCCGACAGCCGAGCGCGCCGGCGCCGGGCCATGTACTCGGGGAACCGCAGCGGCAGCCAGGGCTCCTGGGAGGGCGACGGGCCTGCGGGCGCCGAGGGGTCGGCGCCAGAGGGGACGCTGAGCCCCACACCGCTCTTCAGTCCCGGCACTTATGAGCGCCTGGCTCTGCTGTTCGGCTCCCTGGGGCTGCTGGGCGCTGGCAGCAACCTGCTGGTGCTCGTCCTCTACTACAAGTTCCAGCGGCTCCGCACACCCACTCACCTCTTCCTAGTCAACATCAGCCTCGGCGACCTGCTGATGTCCCTCTTCGGGGTCACCTTTACCTTCGTGTCCTGCCTAAGGAACCGCTGGGTGTGGGACACCGTGGGCTGCGTGTGGGACGGGTTCAGCAGCAGCCTCTTCGGTGAGTTGGACCACGAGGAGGAAGCATCCTCGCCTCAGCTCCCCACTCCCAGCACTGACACTTCCCTCCTGCTTGGCTTCCCTCGCTCCAGCACGGCTGCAGAGCCCCGCCACCCTTCTGCTGCCCCCCGCGACCCCCAGTGCATGGTGTGTCTGCCACCTTCCCTAGTCTCCTCCACCCACGCTGCCGCGACTTCGCTCTCGTGGCCCGCCTCTTCCCCCGCACGCTGACCCTAAATAGCGGCTTCATCCTGAGCTGCTCTTTCAGGCTCCAGCCCTTGCATAAAGTCTCTGGCTTCAGGCAAGCTCATCTTTCATCTCAGGTCTCTGTTTTCACCTCTTGATAAAACTCAACAGGGCATTTATTTCACCACAACGTTTTACATTTTGAGGGAACGAGGCCCTGTAGAGTCAAGAGATCCAAGAGGAAAAAAAAGCTCATGAAAGTTGGAGGAAGAGATAAGACATTTAATTCATATATTGTTTCTTTCCTAAAATGAGAAGTAGCGACCTAAAATTGTGGCAGTCTATTATTTTTTCTTTTGCTCATTAGCAGTTGTAAACCTTTGTTTCCTAAGGAATGAGAAAGTTTCATTCAGGTTCTTAGAATGCAAATTGGCATGTGTCCTATCAGGTATTTTATATTGTGTTTTTCCTCCTTTATATTTTCCATCATACCAAAATCAACGGCTCAGAGAATCCCAAACCAGGTGAACAAATAATTAGCTATGTAGCCAATATATTTCATTAAAGGTGGAACTTGACAATTGATTGAAGATTTATTTGTACAGTATTCCTAATCCTTATGGAAGATTTTTAGGTCTCATTGAGATGACATTTTGAAGGATGCCCAACCCCAGTATATGATTCAAGACATATTCTAAGCTTAGAAAAGAACTTACTTTGTGTGTTCCAGGAATTTCATTTGTATAAAGAGTTGAAATAGAAATGTGTATTTTTGAGGTCTTGAAGTTTCTTTTCTAAGTCTTGAAATCCATTGATGATTTATTACTACTATTATCTTGGCAGATATTAGAGAACGAAAGTCTTTATAACACCATTACAGATATTTTCTTATTCGCCTTTTCATGGTTAATTTTCTTAATATTTCAAAAGAAACAAGAAAATGTCAGAGAAGTCATGATTTCATTTATTTGATTGCCTCAATGATTTTAGTATTCTCTTCCTCCCCAATAAGGATTAATCTGAGAATTTCCTTAATGCAAAAATTTGAAGCTTGCAGAAGGGACTGTAAATGTACAGATGACTCTGTGATTACACTCTTTACGTTAATTAAAGATATCTATTGGGCAGTTTTGTAGGCCCCGCTGAACTTTAAAGAAGGTGATTCAAGTCTAAGCTTAATATATCAGTAAAGCTCCCCAAGGTGGGCAACGGTTGTTGGTTCACACAAATGAAAATTCTTATTTCCATGAAGTGCCTTTTCTGTGCTGGAAAATTGTGCACAAGGGAGTTTGAAAACAAGGATGTATCTAGGTTTTTTGTTGTGGTGGTTGTTTTTGTTTTTAATTTGTGCTTCCTCACCCGTTTTCTTTGCTGGCCCCCACAATCTTGTATGCCCCTTTTTTCTCTTTTACCATCCCTGCTCAGGTCACATATCAATCAGAAGTGATTTTTCTAAGATGCTAGAAACATTCGCCACATAATATTTTACCTAATGGCTGCTCTACTTCTCAAGGTGTTTAGTTAGTGCTTTCAACCATGATATCCTCATTTTAGAATTAGAGGTAGACACTCTGAGATTAAAGGATCAGACTTGGTTAAACACTGGAAACAAGTCAAGAGTGAGATTACTGTGGGGTTTAAAAAGTTCTTAGTAAAGATTAAAAATTTCTTTGCCTGAAGTGTGCTTCTAGATTAGGATTACAGATGAAAGTGTTTCTCTTGTTGTTACCCTGAGCAAGAACTAATCAACCATGAAGTTTTGAAGGGAGAGGGAATTTAAAAATGCCAGAAGTAGCTGCTTGTTCCATAGGATTTGGAGACTTTCCCATCCAGTGGGAAATTCACTGGCCTTAGGGTAAAAGAGTGGGTCCTGCTTTTGATCCTGTGGGCTTTCTCAAGTCTCCCCTGCCATCAGTTTTCTCATTTTTATTATGGAGTAATTGAGCTTAATGTTCTTCAAGATCATCCTCTTACTTTGTATTTTGAGGATTCCTTTGATATGTGTAGCTTAGAAGGTGCTGGGTATTGGTGCTAATGTCTTGTATCCTCATCTCCTACTCTCAGCCCTGTTCCCTTCTAAGCCAAGAATAAGCATATACCATGCTTGTTATTATTCAGTACCCTCATAGGTTCTGTCTTCCTCTTTACAACCTGCTAGAAGAAGACCAAATCAGCAAATAAGTATATTTTTACTGGAGTAATCAGTAAATCAGGTATATATATATATATATATATATATATATATATATATATATATATATATATATGCATGCATGAGTAAATAAGGCAATTGTTGTATTCTGTCAGATCCTGTTTCTCAGAGAATTCTGAACGTAAGTGAAATCTGATGTTCTTGAGGCAGAAACTTTTGACTAGATAGGACTGCTGGGATCACCATTTCAGTTAAACTGAGTAGTGGGTCAGTAACCTAGTCAATTTATCTAAGTTATGATTGAATGGCTTTTTTTTTTAATCATTATCCATAATAATCAGTCCTTCTGGCCTTGGCAGGTCCAGCTTGTGCCAGTCTAGATTTCCGTAGAATTAATGGTAGTAAAAATTAAAGGTCTAAGAACTTTCACTGCTACTGTGCCAGGATGGATAGAAAAGAGCACTGTAGGGTATGTCTTTAACCTGAAGACTTCCAGGTGAGTATGCCTTGAGGCCGTTGGCTATGCCACTTCTGGCCATACCTAGCATCAAACAGTTGCTCTACAGGTAGACAATAACCAGCATCATGCTGGAGGTTAATGGAGAGACTTCCTGCACCACACCTTCAAAAATAAATATAATAATGTATTATTGTTATCCTTAGCCGAGGATGTTTAGAAAAACCTTTTTTCTTGGGATACAGAGATTCAGGGTTAGAGTTTGGCAAAATGCAAACCATTACTTTATTCAAATGTTAGAAATGTGTGATATTTATGTTACGATATTTTAATATGTGAAACTAGGAATTTTTTTAAATTATAAAATACACACATGCATATGTATGTTCATATAAAGACTGATTATATGTACATTTTTCCCCTCGGTCTGTTTTTTTATGCCTAAATATTTTTAAATGCCAGCTGTTTTATTGAATTAATTCTTATGTAGTAATCTGACTGGTTAACTCAGTCAAAATAGTTGCTTATTGCTATCACAAGGTTCTGAGGGTGGTTGGGGCAAGAAAAAGTCTTATGCTTGGCTTTACCAAAATCACCTATAGACTCTTGGGCACAGAAATATTCCTAATTGTGACAGTGTTTGTATAGAACATGATCTGTTTCCATGTACACAGTGAAGCCACACGTTTCATTTAGTCTAAGCTCACAGCTGTATATAGTTTTATTCAAGTGGTTTCTTAAAAGCCAAAATTTAAGTCATGCTAATTAATTTTTGTTTTTGTGGGCCACTGTTTTCATTCTTTATTATTCTAGTTATTTTGGGGAGGGGGATATGCCTATATTGTTCATTTTCAAGAAAGTAGAAAATATGTGAGAAAGCATTTGATGACTTGCTTTAGTAGAGGTTTGTATCCAGATACTAAGTCAGGTTCCAGTAGATTATAATTGGTATTGCATGAAATTACTTCTCTATTTTGTTTACAGTTGTATTCTTTCTTAAATTTTCTTCTTTCAGAGAAGAGTTCCAGTCACAAATGCATATGTGATGCATTTTGACATTTACTGCTAAGCCGAAATGCAGAAATGAAAACCACACGTCCGTTTTAATATTCTCAGATGTGATTAGATGTACTTTATCATGGTTTTATGCTACTGGCTTATAAAAAAAATACATTAAAAAAGGGAAACAGTTAAACAACTAGGACCTGCAAACCCAATGCTTCTGGGATGAACTGGAACATCACAAGGAGAGATTTTATTACACATAAGCAGACCTCAGCAGAGCCCTCAGCCTAGATTTATACACATTTCCTTCATCAGCAGCTGTCACAAGACACTTTGCCTCCTAGAATGGCAGACATTCTCCCCACAGAGTTTGATGTGGTTATAATAGGGACAGGTCTGCCTGAATCCATCCTTGCTGCTGCATGCTCAAGAAGTGGACAGAGGGTTCTACATATTGATTCAAGAAGCTACTATGGAGGGAATTGGGCTAGTTTCAGTTTTTCAGGATTGCTATCCTGGTTGCAGGAGTATCAGCAAAACAGAGATACTGAGGAAGAAAATACTGCCTGGCAAGACTTGATTCATGAAACAGAGGAAGGCATCACTCTTTGCAAGAAGGATGAAACCATTCAACACATAGAAGTGTTTTGCTATGCCAGTCAAGATAAAGAGCACAATGTTCAAGAGATTGGTGCTCTTCAGAAAAGTCCCTCCTCAATGGCATCTAGTACCCTCATTGAATCTGTGGATTCTGCGTGCTTGCCCAAAGAAAGGGACTCCTCATACTTCACTAGCTATGAAATATCTGCCCAACATACCCAAAAAAGTGATAAAGATATTTCCCTAGAAGTAACTGGTATACAAGAATCATTAGAGAAAGATAACATTGATCAGCCAAAGAGAAATAGGATTACTTACCCTCTAATAGTTGAAGAAGGCAGGAGATTTAATATTGATTTGGTATCAAAGCTGCTATATTCCCAAGGATCACTGATTGATCTTTTAATCAAATCAAATGTTAGTCGTTATGCAGAATTTAAAAATGTAACTAGGATTCTTGCGTTTCGGGAAGGAAAGGTAGAACAGGTGCCTTGCTCCAGAGCAGATGTCTTTAATAGCAAAGAACTCACTATGGTTGAAAAAAGGATGCTGATGAAATTTCTTACCTTTTGTTTAGACTATGAACAACAACCTGATGAATACCAAGATTTCAAGCAATGTTCATTTTCAGAGTACTTAAAAACTAAAAAGTTAACCCCCAGCCTCCAACACTTTATACTGCACTCAATTGCAATGACATCAGAATCATCATGTAGCACATTAGATGGCCTTAAAGCAACAAAAAACTTCCTTCAGTGTCTTGGACGGTTTGGCAACACTCCATTTTTATTTCCCTTGTATGGCCAAGGAGAAATTCCCCAGTGTTTTTGCAGGATGTGTGCTGTTTTTGGTGGAATCTATTGTCTTCGCCATAAAGTACAATGCCTTGTAGTTGACAAAGAATCTGGTAGATGTAAAGCAATTATAGATCACTTGGGTCAAAGAATAAATGCTAAATATTTTATTGTGGAGGATAGTTACCTTTCTCAGGAAACATGCTCCAATGTGCAGTATAAACAGATCTCGAGGGCAATACTCATTACAGATCAGTCTGTACTAAAGACAGAGTCAGATCAACAGATTTCCATTTTGATAGTGCCTCCAGTGGAATCAGGAACCTATTCTGTTCGGGTCACGGAATTATGTTCATCAACCATGACATGCATGAAAGACACCTATCTAGTACATCTGACCTGTGCATCTTCAAAAACAGCAAGAGAAGACTTAGAATCCGTGGTGAAGAAATTATTCACTCCTTTTACTGAAACAAAAGTAGAAAAAGAAGAACTTGGAAAGCCAAGACTTTTGTGGGCTCTATATTTTAATATGAGAGATTCCTCGGGAATCAGCAGAAGCTCCTATGATGGTTTACCTTCAAATGTTTATGTCTGCTCTGGGCCTGACTGTGGACTGGGAAATGAGCATGCAGTCAAACAAGCAGAAACTCTGTTTCAGGAGATCTTTCCTGGTGAAGAATTCTGTCCTCCTCCTCCAAATCCAGAAGACATTATCTTTGATGGTGATGATAAGCAACCAGAAGCTCCTGGAACCAACATAATAATGGCCAAGCTTGAATCCCCTGAGGAAAGCCAAAACTTGGAAAGCCCTGGGAAGCATCTTCAGAATTAGAAAAGAACAAACTCAAAATACTCTTCATCCTGGAATCAATATATTATTATTTGAAGGACAGCTTCCTACATAAAAGAATGGTATACAGATGTCTTTAACATGATTTGAGACATTGGGCACTGGGTGTCTTTGTGAACCTATTATTTGTCACTGGACTTTTTTTTTTTTTAATTTCAGAATCGGCTCCATGATCCAGAATATCAAAAAAGTTAGCTTTATTTTAATATTGGGTATTGTGTGAGGGTTCCATGTTATCAGCTTTGCTTAAAGAAAAGTAATATTATGCCTACTACTGGTCTTTAAATTTCTTTATCCACAGAACAATTAATATCATTTAAGAAACGCTCTAGTTACTATTGCAGCTACTAAAATTGCTATCACCTCTGCTTGAATAGTGAAACACATACAAATAGTAAATTATGTGAGTCTTTTGTAAATAATATAAACATGTAGGCTTGGTAGTAGGAATAGCAATAGTACAAATACCAATATGATAAAATACAATTGTTTCTAATTGTTAAGTCTGATGTTAACAATACATTTTGCAGGTGAATTTATCTACTTGACCCTTATAACCCATAAGGCAATGAGACCATTATAGCCTTCTACTTTAAAGAGTCAAGAGTTTGTAGTTGAAGAGCTCATTTGTGGGAGATACATTCCAAAGAAATTTAGAAGTTAGAGTAGTTAAAAAAAAATCTGTAAAACCTTGCTTTGACATCTAAAACAAAAGATCTTCCAACAAGTAACTCAGGCCAAAATAAAAAATAAATGACCCCAGAAAAAAAGATATTTCAGGATGACCATTCCAAAATTCCTAAAAAGGATCCAAAGGAAAAACTGAGTGGGACACTTTTAACCTGGGATTATAGATGATTTTAAAATTCTCTGCTTAAATAGATTTTCTTATCCCAGTTTTCTCAGGATGAAACTACCACCTTGTTGTCTCTGTCACTTTAATTAGCAATAGTAACCAAAATACTGAGTCAAAGTAGGATTTACTGTGCCCCTATGGTTGTGTCCCATCCCACAAATAGGTAACAACAGCCTTCATATTTACTTCTGCTTCTTAGCTATATCTGGAGAATAAACGCCCCCCCATCCAAAGTTAAAAAAAAAAAAAAAGTCATTTACTCCAACTTTCTAAGGTGAAAGCTTGGGGAGCTGTCAGAGGAGGTGAATTTCCATGATTAATTCCATTTCCAGTCCTCAGGCAGAGAGAATGATAATCCTATAGAAACCCAAACCATTTCATAACTGTGTTTGCTCTCAAAATAGCATTTACTATGTGCTGGGCATACTGTGCTTTCTCACTACAGTTTCTCAACAATATAAGGCAGATACTATTGCATACATTTTCAGAGAGGTATGGAGACTCAGTTATTAATCATTACTCATTCTGATGTGTGGATGAGCCAGTATTGGAACCCATTCTTTCATGATTCCATAAATCATTCATCTTTCCACCTGCAATCATTGTTAGAAACGTATAGGTACAGAATGAGAAGGAAAAGGTGCCCATGAAAATCAAAATCTAATGTTGCTGGGCAAGAAAAGTAGACAGACCCTGGTCTTGCAGCTTATTGTTAAGTCAGAGAAATGTGAATAAGATTAATTAAATGTTTTAGAGCTATGAATCTCATTGAAGCAGAATTCGACTTAAGTTTGACAAAATAATGCTCTTTGGTGACATCTTTTGGTCTGAAGTTTGTGTTCTAAAAAACGTTAGTAGACCAAAATATGTTCTAATTCAGTCCTTCATCACAGATTTAAGTAATTGACAGATTTAAGTAAGACAGATTTAAGTAATTGACAGCATACTGGAAGTATAAAAGTCATGGGCTGATATTAATATTGACTTTTAAAATACAGTAAAGTGGTATATTAGTAAGTAGATCCTAAAGTTTAAACCTATCAAAAAGTTGAAATGCCTGATTACTACAAAATACTAATTAAAATGAGTAAAATTGTAAGATAAATAAAATGAAAGTGAAAGTAATTCAGACTTACTAAAGTTTTTCAGTATCACAGGTTATTCATGAGAAATACAGAAAAGTAACAGTGAAAAGTTGCAAAATATGGTATCAACAGACATAATGGAAATAAAAATAAAAAGTATTATATGAGGCCACAATAGAGATTGTTTTAAAAAACTAACAAAATGAATATCTTACTTTCTTAAATCAATACAAAATAGCAAGTTGGAAATGAGACAAGTTATAAACTGTAAAAAGCATTTAAAAATATAGAGGATATTTTAATCTAGTATAGTTTTCTGACAAATTAGAATTTGACCCAATGGATTATTAACTTTTTTAAATGTTTAGGGAAAATGTGTATCATAAAAGATGATATACCATTAATTGCATTTTGAGGTACATACGGCTTCAATATTAAAATTCAAACATTCTTAAAACGGTCTCATTCTTAGCAAATGCAATATGAAAAGGAAAATGTTGGCAAATAATACATCAACAAAAGTCTTTATTTATTGTGACTCAGAATTAGAAGGCTGATGTTCAGCAAAGCAGCCATTATATCAACATAAGTAGAATAAAATGGTAAAAAATCCAAAGTATTAGCTACTGCCAAAGTTAGTAGTCTCAACTCTTTAAAAAAATTTATCATTCATCTTTGATTTAATTATCTTTGGTAATGATTTCATTTTTTAGTGTGATAATTACTTGAAAACTAATAATTAATATTCATATTGAGGAAACAAATATTTCTCAGTTTGAAATTAAACTATGCTGGCACCATTTTCTTTATATATGGTTGAAGAAATTTGTCATTGTGATAAAGAAATTCACAAAATAAGAAAGATAAGAAAACACCACAAATTTTATTTTCTATTTACATGGCTTTATACCTTGCTAACCTTATTCTATCATATAAATCTATTAATGAGACTAATTCAGGAAGTTGCAGGATATATCATTGTTAAAAATCTAATTTCTAGATGCCAACAGTGACTGCAATTTAAAGTGTTTGGGTATTAATATATATGAACCATATAAAGGATGTTATGCAACTATATTGAGACAATTTAAGAAAAATGCTTAAATAGAAGCAGGTTGAAGGAGCTAAATTTAAAATATGTGCATACTCTCATGAGAGACATCCTGATATAATGGAAAAGTCATACATGTGGAGTCCTTGCATCACATCTTATTAGTTGTCTCATCTCGGGGAAAAACATTTTTAGCTTCCATTTTACCACCTATATTAGAATTAATAATTATTGTGAGGATTGAGTTAGTGAACATGAAATTATTGTCCAAAGGAATGTCAATATATGACATTGATGTGTAGATTTATTATAATACCGTTTAACATTCCTACTGGATGTTTCATGTAACTTGACAAAATTGAAAGAAATTACCTAGGCAAGTAAACAGGTAAAGATGTTTTTAAATTACGAGAAAAAGTGGGAGCTTTGCCTTTTAAGTCTTTGAAGCATGCCTTTGGGTGACTTATCTAAAAACTCTGTGATGCTGAGCAGAAATCTTAGCTAATATGAATAAACAGAAAGAGGTATTTAATAGACACTGACAGAAAGTCTATTGGTAGAAAGACTAGCTGTTTCATTGTGGACATAGATTAACATATGATAATGCAATTTATGCCAGTTGAATTAAAATGTTAACTATAAAAGTAAAAATGAAAATATTACAATTTTCATTCCAATATTGGTGCCAAGGAATTTCATGGCAATGAGAAATATTGACAAGGTAGATCAACAAATAAAAAGATGAAAAATGTATAATAAACAAAAAGAAGATGGAATAAAAAGGGTGTTTGCATTATATAAGTGGTTTAATAATGTTTTTAAAAGTGGATGGAAATCCTTAAGGCTTTGTCCTCTTTACTAGGTAGATTTAGTAAGGGATAGGTTACAAATGAGAAGATATAAGTAAAAATAAATTTTTAGAAAGATGTTCAGGTTAAATATTTTAAAAGGAGATTTAAATGACTTTGACCTAGTTCTTGCTGTTAAGCAAAACTTTTAAATTTGTGTTTGTCTATACCAATAGCACTATATATTAGTAGTCATTTTAAAGAACTTTTTAGAAGACTAACAAGAGCTCTGTAACTGATTTTTTTTTTAAATATACCAGATCACTTTGAATACCACATGTATGCCTGGGAAAATACTTAAAAGAAAGAAAGAAAAAAAAAAAAAAGCTACCTGTAGCAGTTCCTTTCATACAAATTTAAAAGAAAAAGCCTATTAATTCAGAAATTGATAAATTTTGGTGTATTGTTGTTGCTATCATAAACATATAGCCATTAGTTAATATTGATATATGTAAAATTGTATGCAAAACTTAGATCAAAAAATGTTAATTAGAACATATATTTACATATTTGTATAAATTTGTATGTATCTGTGTTGAAAAGAATCAGAAGACATTTAAATAATTGCAGCTTAATAAGGGGTTCTTTTTTCTGTAAAATACTGATGTGTAAAATAAAGAATAAAAGATTTATTGTAAGTTGGAATTCTGAATTGTTGAGAAAATTACTGATTTTTTGGAAACTCCTCAGATTCTCCTTTAAATTAAAAATTTTTTAAAAAATTCTAAGTGGTAAAGGTTCAAAAAGTTAATCTCCAGAAATGTGTGGCAGAAAGTTTTCTAAGTCTTGGTGGAAAGGAATTCTTGGTCACAATGGACTTTGTATCTTTCGTAACTTAATTGCCCAGCATTAAAGAATGATAATAAAAATAATAGTAATGCATTCCAGGACCTTAGCAGTTAGAAATTGCATACTTTCATTGCCCAAATCCAAGAACAGATATAATATGGGAGTGTCAGAGCAGAGAGAAGAAGGCTGGATTCATAGAGGTGGCCAAGCCTTGGCTGAGTGGGGTCTGCAGGGAGACCTGTGTTGAGGACAGATTTCAGGACTGAGGATGCAGGCAGACCATTTCTCCCAGTCCCTAGAGATCCAAATCAAGGTGATTTAATTCAACAAACAGGTTAAACACCAATTGGATTCTAAGATCCAGAAATATAAAAATGAATAGAATAAATTCTTTCTACCTGAGAAACATTCGGTTTAGAATATTTAGTTTAAAGTCTCTTTTACCTTAGTGAGTACTTTATACCTTTTCTATACATCACAATTTCAGTTGTAACTACCACTGTTCCCCTTCCCTTAATTCACCAAAGAAGAAAATGCATGGCATTTATTTTACAGGGTGCCCAAATCTTTTGTTACACCCTTGGAAACAGGTAGTTAAGAGGTTAAAATCTGGGTCAGCTAGCACTTTCTGAAATCTGTTTCAGCTACTAATTATTTAATTAGTATAGCAGTTATAAGCTTTGTGTCCTGCTTGGGGTAAGAGCAAAGAGAAGGTAGAAGAAATTGGGTCCAGAAACTCAAAAATCATTGGGGGGTTTGGAGAGTAGGAAGTGTAAAGAAATCTAAATGAGACAAGCAGATCAGTTTTAATACCAATAAATCCTCTAGTAAGGATTAGTTTAATTTGCTTTTATCTGGATGGATCAAGTCATGCTCCCATTTGCCTTGAGTTGTTCCCTCTGAAGATTTTTAAGTGTGTACCTTCATTATAAAGAGGCATTGTTTCTAGCAGAGTTCCTTTTCATTTAACCAACCACCATATGTATTCACATTGCAACAGCAGGGGGTGCAGTTCCTCCAATTTTCTATCAGGTGTTAATAATACAGAACATGGTTCACCTGAACAAGTTTGACTAACATGAATATTGTGACGGCAATTCTGCTTCAGCATGTATAGGAATGCTTTTCTTCTGACAACTCTATTATGTGATCCGAAGGATAACTGCAGAAGGTAAGAATGGGCAAGTATTTATATTTACTTTATTGCTGAGACCTGGAAGAATCAAAGTAACTTGCCTGGACTCACTCCTAGTTAGTATTTAGATCCACTAGTAAGACTTGAAATGCTACTATTCCATTTTGCCTCCATCACAAGAGACGGAATTATTGCGTATATAAGAGTGCATAACAACTTGGGTTAAATCAGTTCCATGTCCTAGTTTCTATGTTCAGTTTTGGGAATACAAGATAGTGATTATAACACAGAGCACTTACCATATGCTACATATTAACTATAAGTTCTTGTTATCTTTATTTGGTCCTCATAACAATCCAATTGGTAGGTACTTATTCCCATTTTGCAGTTGGAGAAACAAACACAAGACAAAGAACTTGACCAAGATCACATGCTGTGCTGGTAAGTGGTAGAAGGGACTTCAGATGAAGGCAGTCTGATGCCATAAACCAAATGTGACAGAGATATGACGTGGTATTTTCAGAAAGTTGTCAAATCTGGTTGTCAATCAGATTAAGTCCAATATTTCAGAAACTGGTATTTCTTCACTATATTGTTACATGTTTTCAAATAACCCCACAAGGGTAGTAATGTTTTCATGTAAAATGAGAAATATGACTCAATACCTTTCTCAAAATTACAGAATTAGTTAAGTAGTGCAACTTTCAATCTATTGGGACTGACATTGTTGCACAACTAACCACTGTTTCAATCAGGCTGTAGTAATCACTATAATATAGGTGTAGATAAACTTTAATGGATGCACAGAGAAATTACTTTTGTCTGACTAGGGAAATCTGGGGATGATTCACAAAAGCAAAGGTATTTGGACTGGGCCCTGAACAGGATTTCCACAGACTGCTGTGTGGGAAAACATTCTGTGCAAAAAGAATGGCGGAAACAAAGCATACAGGTATCATGGACATGGCCTTCCTGGCTCAAGCATGAAGAGAGCCTGCACTGATGTGGAGAGGCAGGACATATGGGATAGGGGCCAACGAGGTTGGGACTTTTATCCAGTGGATAACACACTGTGCACGTGTTTTCTTCCTAAGACCTGTATTTCAGAGGCTACCCTGGTGGCTGTGTGTAGGAGGCTGGGAAGAAGGTACAGAGACTGGATGCAGGTGATTGGTAAGGGGGAAGCATGTGATAAGACCTGGGTAGGGCAGGGTGATAGAAATGAAAGAATTTGGAGGTAGAAATACAGGACCTGGAGAATGATTATTTTGTTTATTTATTTACTTTTATTTATATATGACAGCAGAATGCTTACAATTCTTATTACACAAATAGAGCACAATTTTCGTATCTCTGGTTGTATACAAAGTATACTCAAACCAATTTGTGTCTTCATACATTTACTTTGAATAATAATGATTATCATGTTCCACCATTATTTCTAACCCCATGTCTCCTCCCTTCCCCTCCTATCTAGAGTTCATCTATTCCTCCCATGCTCCTGCTCCCTAACCCACTATGAATCAGCCTCCTTATATCAAAGAACATTCGGCATTTGGTTATTTGGGGTTGCCTAACTTCACTTAGCATTCTCTTCTCTAACTCCATCCATTTACCTGCAAATGCCATGATTTTATTCTCTTTTATTGCTGAGTAATATTCCATTGTGTATATATGCCACATTTTTTTATCCATTCATCTATTGAAGGGCATCTAGGTTGGTTCCACAGTTTAGCTATTGTGAATTGTGCTGCTATAAACATTGATGGGACTATGTCCCTGTAGAATATTCTTTTTTAAGTCCTTTGGGTATAGACCGAGGAGAGGGATAGCTGGGTCAAATGGTGGTTCCATACCTAATTTCTGGAGAATGATTATATGTCCCACATAAGAGAGGAGAATAGGAAGTTGAAAATGACTGAAATTTCATCTTTGGTATTTGATTGAGTGATACATTTAACCAAGACTGGGAACAGGTTTTGAAGAAAAGCAAATGGATTTGGTTTTGCTCATACAAGATAATCAGTATATGGTTTTGGAAGGTCTTAGAGTACTCTGCATGTCAAGCTAGGAAATGTTGACTTTATCCTAGTAGAGAAACAATGTTATTAAACAAGGAATTGAACTGGTTGCATTTGAGGGGTGTGTTTTGTGTGTGTGTGTTTTTCCCTATCCTCACACCCCCACCCACTATGTTTGGAGGATTACAAAGGAGGCATGACTGCAGACAGAGAGTCTAGACATAAGGCTATTATAGTAGTTTGGCAAGAGATGGTGAGGATCTAAATTAGGTCAATAGTTGGAGAGCAAAGGACAGGTTTGAGAATTATTGAGAAGATTAACTCAGCATGACTCAATGGTTGGTCGCACATGAATGCTGCAGGAAAATTTAAAAAGAGCTGGTAGATATAGACCTAGGGGGAATATAGACATAGTGCCCAGCCTGAATTTAACACAGTAACTCCTGCTTTTGGATTAGTTCTGGGTTAGAAAGATTCCTTTTCTAGAATTCCTAAGTATACTCTATTTATTTATTTTTTCCTAGGCTTATGAAGAATCAAGGATTTGAATTAGGTATTGCCAATACCTTGACTACCAGAGAATCTGTTTTAAGATCTGGCCAAATAGAAAAAAAAAGCAAGCCAATGATGCAAGAAGGAATACAAAGTCCTGATGGCGTTATTTCAGGCCCTACTTATATGCCTCACATCTTTTTTCTATTGGATAACTATGGCTAAAACAATTGCCACTTTTAACTTTTGGTTACATAGATAATTCATTTGTTTTTTTTTTTCTTAAGGAAAATAAATATAGAATAGAAATAGCATATAATATAGGAAGGAGAGCCAGTCGTGTGGTGCATACCTGTAATCCCAATGACTTGGGAGGCTGAGGCAGGAGAAACCCAAGTTCAAGGCCAATCTCTAACTTAGAGAGATCCTGTCTCTTCATTCAATTCCTAGTACTGAGGTAGCGGTGATATATATGAATATACACAAACACACCACACATATCACATATATATGAAAAATGTTATAGAAACCACAGGGAATTTCAACAAGAGCCTGGTTCAAAGTGATAATATTGCAAAGAGGTGGAGTGAACTAATGTTTTAATGATTTATCAATTGCATTCAGGGTCAGTAGGCATATAGAGAATAACTATAATAAGTTGCAGAGTGGCTAGAGATGATTTGTCATATACTGTGACATATAAGAAGGAATGAAGTGAACATCCAATAATATGTGATTGGGGATTTAATTTCTGTTCTGGTGGCTATTTTGAAAACACTAAGATTTTGTGTACTTCCCCATCCTAGCATTATATTGCCAAGAATTATCTCAAGGATGTATACATATATATACATGAATTATAATATCCATTGCCACACTAAGAGCATGCTATATGGCAGGTATTATTTTAAGTGCATATCAATTACCTTAGTCTTCATCCCAACTCTATGGGGATACTTGAGTATTATTATTACCCTATTTTACAGTAAGGAACTTAAAACACTAAGGAACCTGAACCTAATGTCCATGATCACTATGTTCTATTGTCCCTCCTCACAGTACTGTTAGAAAACTGATAAACTGAAAGAAATCCAAATGTCCACGCTGTGAAATCAGGAAAAGCATATGTTCTAGAAATCAATATACCACTGAGCAACTCATTCAGGACCAGACCTTGCAAACACTTTGCTCTCCAGAAGATGGTCAGA